GAAGTGTTTTTCTAGAAGATTGAGTTATCGGAAAAAAATGTGTGGGTATTTAAATCAAAAACTACAATAAATATAAAAGTCTTGGCTACGAATAATATCGCTAAAAAGAATAATTATATTTCTCAATTTTTCTCAAATTTTTTACAGATGATAATTAAGAAAATTAGTTAAGTTTACTCTTATCTTATTAATACCTGCTGCTTATTGTATCACTTTTCAGGGCGAGTTTTATCATGGTGTTCGAGATCTCGAGTTACTGCAGGAGTTTATCCTACAAAGATTGACTGCTGAGGTATGTCTCACCTCTTTTTTTTAACTTTGCACTTGTGCATGTCTTGATGGCATGCCTTCTTACCTTACAAATGCATGTGTGCTCCGCATTTGTAGGGACCTACAATTGCAATTGTTCTCAGATGCTAGGTGGTAGTGTTACAATGGAAAAAGATTAAATGAAGTTCTAGTTTTTGCAATATGATAATTAAACGACAAGGATCACGAAAAAAAAAATGGTTCTATAAACATTCTCATGTTGTTCATGGTAAACAATTAAAAAGTATATGGTAAAGAAGCACATAAAAGATGCGAGAGATTTACAGTAACTGCCAGGAAAGACTTGTTTTTTTAGAGATAGACTGCTTTTCTCAATGATATCGCTTTAATGAAATTATTATGAGTGCAAAGTCTCGACACTAGAAAAATAAAAACCATGAAGTTAGGTATCGCAACTATAAATAGTAATTTATCCAAGAAATCCCCTACCAGTCCGTTTGTGTGTTTCCTGAAGAATAATAAAACTCAGCCAATGAATATTTAGCCGTCTACGGTCTTCATTTTGAAAATACAACTCATTAGTGCCAAAAAGGAGAAAAGTAAAGAACTCCTACCCGCACTTTGATGGTAGTCGCTTGGCGCTCTTTAAAAAACCGAAAACCCATTTGGCTAATATAAATAGTCATAAAAGAGAGGTTAACTGAATTTACCGAGGCGAGGCAATGAGGTAGTTTGCTGATCATGACCACATGATCACTACCTGCGGCTATTCTTGAGGAGGGAGGAAAGCTTGTCCTCCGTTCTCTCTCTGGGTAGGACTTGTAGTCAGCCAGACTGAAACATAGCACACAGGCGATCAAAACCTCATTTAATAATAACAGGATAATGATCTTTAAATAGAAGGCAAAGCGACGAGCAAATAACTCACCTCTTTTAGTGGAATTTTGCAGGTCCTTCACTTAAAGTCGGAAAATCTTGAAGCTCTTGTTGTTGAATGGCAGCCATATGATTCTCGACCATGGATCATAGATTTCTGCGATCAGACGGATTCTTGTCTGTCTTCAATAAACAGGCGAGTCATCCTCTAAAACATCATTTCATCAGTGAATTTACCCCCTTCTGCAGAAGGAAATTGGCGGCTATGCTTGAGGGACTTGTGAATGTAGGAACCGTTGATTGCTCTGTTGAGCAGGAATTGTGTGAATTGTTGGATGCATCATCTGGTGCTTCGTACTACCCGGCAAAGAAAGTACAAAAGGGATATGAGCAAGTGCGTCTATCA